TCACACCCTTTCCACATAGATAAACCTACTACTATTGGTGTTTTTGCTGGTTGATTTTCTTTTATTCTCACTTCGTATATATAAGACCTACCACGTGACTGGAAAAAGCGCATTAAATAATGGTGAATGTCTTCAACGTTCAAATCTTTTTCATTGTCTTCAGAGAATGTTTAGAAGCAGTGGTTGTTGTTTCTGTTTTGCTAGCATTCTTGAAACAAGGTATTGGTAAAGCCACCGATGATCCCAAAGTGTACAAGAAGTTGCGAAATCAAGTTTGGTGGGGAGCAGGGATAGGGGTGATTATTTGTCTCATCATTGGTGTTATCTTCATTGCTTTGTTTTATACATTGGGTAAAGACATCTGGTCTTCTTCGGAGGATTTATGGGAAGGAATCTTTTGTATTATTGCCACGGTTTTGATTTCATTGATGGGTATTGCAATGTTGCGTATCAACAAGATGAAGGAGAAGTGGAGAGTCAAGTTGGCTCAAGCATTGACCAAAGCTCCAAGCAAAACAAAGGACAGATTCAGGATTGGTTACTTGACCAAAAAGTACTGTATGTTCATCTTGCCATGCATCACTTGTCTTAGAGAAGGGTTGGAGGCTATCGTTTTCGTTGGTGGTGTTGGATTAAACTCACCTGCCACCTCTTTCCCTATCCCAGTCATTTGCGGTTTGATTGCTGGTATCGCAGTTGGTACAATATTGTACTTTTCCGGATCCACTGTTTCCTTGCAAGTGTTTTTGATCATTTCTACTGGTATTTTGTACTTGATTGCTGGTGGTTTATTTTCAAGAGGAGTTTGGTACTTTGAGTCCCATGTGTTCAACACCAAAACTGGCGGTGACGCTTCAGAAAACGGTTCTGGTCCCGGTACTTATGACATTGCTAAATCAGTCTGGCATGTCAATTGCTGTAACCCAGAAACTGATAATGGTTGGGATGTTTTCAATGCACTTTTGGGCTGGCAAAACTCTGCCACTTATGGCTCAGTGATTTCTTACAACATTTACTGGCTTGCAGTTATTGTCACATTGTTGTTGATGCTTTTCGAAGAAAAATATGGACATTTGCCATTCTTGAAGGGAGTCACTTTACGTTCATTGAATCCAATGTACCACATCAAGAACAAGAAGAAGCATGAGTTGACAGCGGAGGAGAAGGAGAAGTTGTTTAATGATTTGCAAAATGTTAAACTTGGAGTGGATGACGACGACGAAAAAGCACATTCCACAGCACTTGTTGGCGATTCTGACGATGTTGACGAAGTGAAGAATGAAGTTGTTCAGGTGGGCGGAGAGAAGGGAGAGCACAAAGTTAGTCAAGCCAATTAGTTTATACACACACACACACACATCAGGAGTAGACTAGCAAGTCTGCTTCAAAACTATAGGTTGATCTTTCGATGGTGCTACTCATTGTCTTTTTCGTTTCATCGCTTGGATTGTTCATTCAAATGCAATGCTTTGCTGGCTTGGGCTAGCAGTTTATTTTATTTTTGTTTCAAATGTGAGGGTTGTTTCATTGCAGGACGGGGGATCGGGGGGTTCGGTCGTCCAATATCTTTCCTCTAATTTTTATTTTTTTATATAGTTTGCTTTTAGATGGTTTTCAATACATTTCCGGGATTGATAATGTGTAGCAAGGAGATACCAGGAACTAAATCCGGAGTCAAGCACTTATATGAATTGCTATAGAGGGAACCTACCTAATGAAGTTGAACCAACTTTTTGTTAGACTTTGATTACCCTTTGGATAACCTGCTTTTACAAGAAATGTACATGTTGCGATAGTCCAGCTATCATACCACAAGTCCAAGATAAGGCGTTAGGATTGTATGCGAAGAGAACGAGGGCAAGAAAGGAGGGAATGGTGCTACACCCTCACGTCAGATCTGAATAATACACATTTGGGGCTTATGTGATTGTAAGTGACTTTTATGTCTTTTTCCGAGAGTCCGTTTGTGGAAAGATTGGCAAGCGAACTATATCGGACAGCAGGCTATGTCACGTCTCACGCGAGAGAAATCTATTTGGGTGTCGATGAACTCGAATTCCTTGTGCCAGTTGCAAAGCCCGAGTTTAACGATGCAGGCTTAGATATCAAGTAAGTAGTTGCATAATAATGGCAAGAGTCAATTGCTGGATAAATAGAGGCATAGAGAGAGAGACACACGCGAAAGAGAAGTAGAGGTCAAAAATCTACAACACCATATTGGTGGGTTAAGCTCCCGAAGGATTCCCATCAACAAATTACGGAATCATCATCACCAACACTCACCAACAACGGGAACACCATCAACTGCAAATGGAAAAAAATCCTAAGCAGCAGCAAAAGCCACTGCAAATTCCAAAACCATAAGCAGCAATAACCACCTGCAAATCCAAAACCGTAGGCAGGAATAACCAAAAGTTGTTAGCGACAACTGCAAAACCAAGACAGCAAGCAGCAAAAACCAAAAGTTGTTAGCAACAACTGCAATAAGCAGCAAAAACCAAAATTTGTTAGCAGCAACTGCAATAAGCAGCAAAAACCAAAACTAGCAACGCAACCCCGACTCCAACAGCAACAACACCTAACCCTTTGTTTTCCCAACATCCAACACTACCAAGACTTGATGAGACCTTTTCTGACTCTAGAATGATTCCTCTGATGGTTGCTCAAATGAATTCATCGTGGATCTTAACAGGGGTGTTTGGGGCGTCTTTGTGACAGCTCCTAGAGCGTGCCCGTCTAAAAGACGTATATCCCCTGTGATCCGTTTTGATTGCACAAATGTAGACCAGAGAATGGATCTGCTGGTAGACCACAACCCATTGAATTCTCATACCATCCTTTCTCACGACGTCATTCTTGTCAAATTCATCAAAAAGCACCTCTTCTCGTAGTAGTTGTTTGTGCAATGATCAACTGAAGTGAGCGTTCAGTCACTCCTCTCACTCCTATTCCAGACCATTTTCAAGGGTAAAAATTCAGGGTCACCCAAGTGGCTCCTCCTTCTGTTCAGGAAGTGCTAATAAAACATTTCAAAGCGGCTTTCAATACCATATCCCCTTCGTTTGTTTCATCACTTGAGGTGGTGGCGTGTCTGACAACTGCACCACTAATACTGTGTCAGAACACACAAGTGCATTTCTCGTCAAATTCACTGAACCCCCTCCCCTAAAGGGGTGCACAGATCCTCCTCCTCGCACCTTTGTGGCTGTATCTTTGTCTCGGTTGACACACATTGGAAATAGCAATCCAATGTGGAGAGAAAACAAGAAGGAGAGCAAAAATGTGTTGCAAAGTTCTTTGTTTACCTTTTTTTTTATGTGTGTGTGTGTTTTGTGTGTGTGTGGGTGTGGGTGTGTGCTGATCAACCACCAACTAATATGAAAACTCTTAATAAAGGTTGAAATGGTCTGAGTGTTTTATTGCAAATTGCCACTCCCACCAACTCAAGGCCCTTGTATCATTACTTTCTTCTACTACTAAGTACATTTTGAAAAGCCACGTATTGGAAGTTGTTTCTCTTTCTTGACTAGAGGTTTTTGCAGTTTCATGAACGACTTTTTTCCCCAAGAATTCTTCACCCCCCCTCTTTGTATCTACAATTAGGACTCGTTTATATCTACCAGCATACCAAAGAAAGTAGTTGAACAATTAGTGACACAGAAAGTAGACTTACAATAAGGGGATTGCATATGAACACTCTCACCAACACTCTTGCATCTGGAAAACAATCTCAAAACTATAGCGAATAGTGCAAAATCCCGATACATAGGACAACAAAACCACTGTAGCCTCAATTACCTATATCCACTTCCAGACTCTATGTGTCACGATACCTCTGGGGTCTTGGGTTGTCTCGCTTTTGCATCCAATAAATCGTGTGATTTCAATAGTTTGTAGTGTATCACGTGTCAAGTATCACATGACTCTTGATAGTTAAACTACCCCCCCTTATGTTTTCTTCTCTTTAATCAAAGGGTCAAGATCAATTGGATGCCGACTAGTCGTCTATGATCTACACACAATGTATGACAGGGATCATTATTTACACAAACTAAACACAATATAGCCTCGCCTTGTTGTATTCGTTTCTTGGGAGAGAAAAGTTTGTATATGGAAATTAGCATCTACATCGGCAATTTGCTTCAATTATCCAGGCTTAACTTGAATGACACCCAACTTGTAAATCAGACCAAAACGAGTTGTTTATTTAAAGCAGGCTCATCTGTTTGTGGTACAACAAATCTATATACAAGTTGCAAAGAAACGTACCCATTTGTATCTCTCACTTTGACTAAAAATTATCTCATTACCTTCGCATCCACACTAATGGCTCTCTTCTTCAAACCGGTTCAAACAATAAATCGCCTCTTGTCATCAAATACGCACACATCTGTTCGTCAACAAAATTACCTTCATTGGTTGAGCGACAAGTTATCAACCTTTTTAGCAACACCCAAATACATACTCTTGGCTAAATTAAAGTCATCAGCTTCGAGTTCGCCTCTTCTGTATTGAAGCCTAATACTATAGAGCTCATCATAAGTGACTTGTTGCTGAGCCAGCGAAACTTCCTGTCCCAATTCAACAAATTGAGAAATTTTAAACAATCGTTCAGCAGCCTTTTCAACCTCCTGCTCCGACAACCCCACCGACGAGCCTTGCTGTGCCAATTTCTCCTTGTACTCATTAATTTTCCTTTTGCGAAGCAGATACTGTTTTCTTTCTGCCTTTTCCAACTGTGGCAAAGCAAGAATCTCTTTTCTTGACCTTTGTAACTCCTCGTTTTTAGCAGCAACCGGATCTTCAATAGGTACGTATCCAAACCTTCTCAATCTTGGAGCAAAATGTTCTTTGGGGAGTCTAATATCCTTCTTTAATGCCACTCCTACGTATTTCCTCAATGGATGGAACGGATCAAAATAAAATCGAACATACCCAGGTTCAACAGCGTATATCGTGTGATCAACTCCAATTCTGACATTTTCTCCAGGGTGTATCTTTGTACCCCTTTGTCTCATTATGATCTGACCGGGCTTTACTGGGTGCCCTTCATTGACCTTAGGTCCTAATCTTCTACCAGCAGAATCCTTGTTATTTGTTTTGGAACCAGAAACCCTTTTGGTGGCAGTACGGATCTGGATTATTGACTTGATAGAGCTGGATATCCCAGACACAGGCCTCTCTATGAAAAGATTCTTCAACGACAACATTGTTTTGTCTCTTTGAGCTGCTTTGAAGAAATGTAAGGGCAGAGCTTTGTTCTCTGAATAGCCAAAAATTTTTCACACCTCTACAATTAGCTTTCGTCAATGTGTCGCAAAATATGGAAACACGACATCACAATTACTCCCTAACATACTTTATGAACTTTTAGAAGTTCTATCTACGTCAATTGATGTGGACATTATAACGTGTAAATCTACATTTCCTCTATGTCATCTAAGGATACACCACAACTGGTTTTTATTTTCTTTTCGTTTCTTTTCTTTGCCTCACTTACTAGTGTACTTTTCCAAGATGTCCAAAGCAAGTAAATGGTCCTCTTCTTGAGCTAATCCACTGATAGTCAAAGCTCCAATTAAAAACTCACTTGACTCGAGACACAAAGGAATACTACCACCATGAGAAGCAAATTCTTTCGAAGATACAAACATGGCTTCTTCAATGGATTTCCCCTTTTGCCTAAGTTTCTGTCCGATAAAAAAGCTCGATTTACCAAACCTGAATACTGTATTGTACTTTCTCTTCACCCAGTTGTCATTATCAACTGCAGTACCTGAAGACACTACCGAATGGAATAAAGTTTGCCCACTTGTTAAGGTTATGTCAATTACAATTCCCTTGTTGGGGTACAAGACTTGACACAATTGACGACCCAAGACACCCAACTCCCAGGCAACTTGACTGTCGAATGTTTTGAGTTTATGCTTTGCCTCAAGTTGTGAAAGCTCCTCCAAGCTTGAATTGTAGATTTCATGTGTCATAGTAGGCTAATGATGAAGAAAGACAGCTTACACCCAGCAACTCATAAAATCGAAATGCAAAAAAAAAAAAGAAAAAAAAAAAAACACACACACACACAGGGGAAAAAGATTGTTGCACGAGAATCTGGGCCACCTTTTTCCCATTCCCATTCCCATTCCCAGAACAGTTTCATCGACGGTAACAACAGCACCCACCCACATCCTTCTTCTTAAGAATATGTACCAGACACCTCCACAAACAAGAGCAGTACCGGTAAACGTGAACCGACAACCTTCTGATAACGCACTGGCCAAAGTGAATGGAAATGCATTGAATGATGAACAAATATACCAATGGATAAACGAGCTCGTCACAGGTACTAATAGGGAAAAGGCATTACTAGAGTTGGGGAAGAAAAGAGAGCAGTATGATGACTTAGCTTTGGTTCTTTGGAATTCGTTTGGGGTGATTACAGTTCTATTAGAAGAGATTATCAGTGTTTATCCGTTTTTGGACCCACCAAATCTAAGTGCGTCGACTTCCAATAGAGTATGCAATGCTCTTGCATTGTTGCAATGTGTGGCATCGAATGTCCAAACTAGGAGTTTGTTTTTGAAGGCCAATTTGCCATTGTATTTGTACCCATTTTTGTCAACCAATGCACGCCAAAGATCATTCGAATATTTGAGATTGACAAGCTTAGGGGTCATTGGTGCACTAGTGAAGAATGATACACCAGAAGTTATTAATTTCCTTTTGACAACGGAAATAGTGCCATTGTGTTTGAACATTATGGAAATTTCATCTGAATTGTCCAAGACTGTTGCCATATTCATTTTGCAGAAAATACTACTTGACGATCAAGGATTAAATTACATTTGTACAACCTTTGAACGATTCCATACTGTTGCAACTGTATTGGCCAAGATGATTGAACAATTGGCAGCATTAACCGTTTCTGGTGCCAATGGGAAACCAGTCACGGGACAGGGACAAGCATCCTCTAATAGCTCCGGGAGGTTATTGAAACATGTGGTTAGGTGCTATATGCGACTTTCGGATAACATCGAGGCCAGGAAAGCGTTGGCAAATATATTGCCCGAGCCATTGCGTGATGGCACGTTTTCATCGATATTGCAGGATGATATTGCAACAAAGAGGTGTTTGGTGCAGTTATTAGCCAACATAAATGAGTGATGTGTATATATGACTATAGCGTAATAGAAAGTGGATCCGTAATTCTACGATTGGAAGTAAAATTATTTGTCAAATCTTTTCAAAAGATTACTGTGTAATTGAATATACTACTTAAAAAATAACACCGTATTCATTTTAGTACGATTCTTCCAAATTATTTGGATTCTTTAGTGTCCAATGGAGTCAATCTCAAGTATGGCTTGATGATTCTAAACTTTGGGAAAAGAGTCTTGGCTTCTTCGTTTGAAACTGATGGGTGGACAATGACATCATCACCTGGGACCCAGTTGATTGGAGTAGTAACTCTGTACTTGTCACCAGTTTGCAAAGAGTCAACGACTCTTAAAACTTCAGCAGTGTTTCTACCAGTACTAGCTGGGTAAGCCAAAGTCAAACGAATCTTCTTCTTTGGGTCAATGACAAAAACTGATCTAATGGTAAATTGAACACCCTTGTCGTCAACATTAGTAGCATCTTGATAATCAATCATATCATACAAGTGGGCAATTTTTCTTTCTGGATCAGCAATGATTGGGAAGTTCAATTTTGAGCCAGTAACCTCATCAATATCCTTGATCCAAGCCTTGTGGGAATCAGAATTGTTAGCAGACAAACCAATCAACTTGACGTTTCTCTTGGCGAATTCTGGTTCCAATTTGGCAAAAGCACCCAATTCAGTGGTACAAACCGGGGTGAAGTCATCGGGGTGGCTAAACAAGACAGCCCATGAATCTCCAAGGTATTCATGGAATGAAATTGGACCATTGGAGGTTTCAGCTTGGAAGTCTGGAGCAGTAGATCCTAATCTAAGGGATTTTGATTCAGGCATTGCTTATGAGTCAATTGCTGTAAAGTGGAGAGGAAAGGAAAGGATAGGAAAAGATAGGAAAAGAAAAGAAAAGAAAAGAAAAGAAAAAGGGGAGAAATTGAAAAAAAAAAAGGAAAATTTATTCAAATTGAATTGAAATCGGGCGGCAATTGACAAGATTTAAATACAGCTCTCTCTATGCTAAAAGCTGTAGAGTGAAAAAGTGTGGACTGTTCTAACTACTACTACTACTTACTACTACTACTGCTGCGTCTTTTCCCTTTGTTGGGGTTTTTGTGTTTGTAAAAACTGCATATTGTGGTTTTTGCGTAAAAGCAATTATTGCCACAAGTCACGTGCTATTGACATTCTATCAACCTCAATTTCTTATGTTTCCTATCTTCCTTTCTTGGCTATGCAAACCTTGTTTCAACTTGGTTGGACCTTGTCTACAACAGACGTTCTTGTATTAGCATCTAGTTCAGAAACCCAGTCATTCACGTGTGATGCTTTCGTATTCCCTTCGGCTTTATACACATACACGAGTATTCCTTGTTCTAATATTTATTTATATACACTACACTTCAACAGCGTTATAGCTGCACAGCCGTTCTTTGCAATGCATTTCATAATTTGTCATCATCAGAGTCGTCAACATACACACCATAATCAAGCAACCTTTCTCCCGTGTCATTATGCCAACTACTTCGTTTGGCATTGCTTCTCGGGTCCAATTGTTTCTTCAACTGGGAATAATTGCGGATGCCTCTCTTCAATTCGTCATCGCTAGGAGGTGATATTGTTATATTTTGATTGCCTCCGTCTGGTGGCCAAGGGAGTCCCAATTGATCATCCTCCTTGTAGTCTGAAGACGGTTCTAAATCGTATCCATTCCCCTTGGGCTTGCCCCATGGCACCAACCACATAAACGGAGAGCCCAAAAAGTGCTTTAGGTTGCCCCAAACCCCATAATCGTAGGGAAACATCAAATCATCAATGGTAAAGTTCTGGGGCACAATATCCTCTTCATCCTCGTCATCGTCATCGTTATTGAACTCTTGCTGAGCAGTTGCGTCTGACTCAACTCCACGCAGTTGAGATTCGGTTGCCACGCCGTCTAAAGCCTCACCTTCACCAATCTCATTAATCTCATGTTGATTCATTTCTTCCATGGGCAATGCATCATCGTCGTTGACGGGAGCTCTGTTAGTCCAAGTAGTCAACTGGGGTAATTCTTTCCCATACGACTGCTTATAGCTTAATCTTATCGATTTCCATAGCCTCTTGCTATAAAATTGGCTATCGATTCTATCCCATTCCCAAATCTCAATTTGAGTCATGCCTTTACCAATGTTGATCAAACATCGAATAAACAACACTGTAATGCTCAACAAAATGAACAAGTCGATTGGAGTGAATACAACCACAGCAACCAATTCCGATCTCTTTATGAGATACATTGGCTTATCCAGATCATCGTAGTATCCAACTATACGCTCACACAATTGCACAAATAAATAAGCGGTTCCCACAATAACCCAAAAGAGGAATCTCATAAAATGAGGGAGATTGTTTGCGCCAACACAGTTAAGGGTCCACGGACAATGATGGTCCATTTCCATGATACACCTATTGCATTTCGAACAATGATGTGTTCTGGGTGGTTTATAGCTTTGACATTTAGTACAGTATCGTTTCCATTCACCCTTTTTCGGAGTATAATCTTTTGGCGGATGCCCAGGACTCGTGTAGATTGCCATAATATAGGAAATCCAAATCATGGATGCGAAACATTCATAGATGACTTGTTGTGTGGTTGACAAATGATGACGAAGTATAAAGTAATGTGAACCATATGCGGTAAATCCTATGATCAACACGGGTATGATGACACCTAATAGCGGCCATCGGAACTCATGCATTATTGGAAGTGGAAAGTACAGGAAGGTGGGGGTGAAGGTGGCGGAGGACACGGGGAGACGCTACTACTAACCGAACAGATTGCACGCTATCAGCTAGCTTTGGAAACGTCGTGTACTTGTGTATGGTTTTCACCTTTGAATATTTTTGTTAGTGGAGTGGAGTGTTGTGTTGGTGGCGAAAAAAAAAAAAATAAAAAAAGAAAAAGTACCCAAAGGACTCTCAGTATCAGTTTTGGCAGTATACAGTTGATTGATTCAAATCAAATCAAATCAAATCAAATACAGACATATCTTACAACACAATTGAACTAAAACGATCACAATGGTATGTTTTGTTGATGGAATCTTCTTGCTTTACCCACTCCAGTGTTACTAACTTTCTCGTTTAGACATCAATTGGTACCGGATATGATTTATCAAACAGTGTTTTCTCGCCAGGTATGTTTGAACCTTCTCTCTCAACAAGTGCAGTGTATGCTCGATACTAACCTATTTGATGTTTTTTTAGATGGAAGAAATTTCCAAGTGGAATATGCAATGAAGGCAGTGGAGAATGGGGGTACATCCATTGGTATCAAATGCAAGGATGGCGTTGTATTGGCTGTCGAAAAAATCATCAACTCGAAACTATTAGTGCCTGGGAAAAACAAGAGAATCCAAACGGTGGACCGTCATATTGGAGTGGTATACTCGGGGTTGCTTCCGGATGGACGTCATTTTGTCAATAGATCTCGAGATGAGGCACAATCTTTCAAGTCAATATTCAAGGTTCCTATGCCTGTTCCAAATCTAATGGATAGAATGGGAATATACGTCCAGAACTACACCTGCTACAACTCAGTGAGACCTTTTGGAGTGGTATCTATAGTGGGTGGTGTTGATGACGATGGCCCACATTTGTACATGATTGAACCAAGTGGTACTTGTTGGGGATATAGTGGGGCAGCTACTGGGAAAGGTCGTCAAATTGCCAAGTCAGAATTGGAGAAACTAAACTTTGAGGAGTTGACATGTAAGGAGGCGGTTAAAGTTGCAGCAAAGATTATTCATTTGGCACACGAGGACAATAAGGATAAGGATTATGAATTGGAGATTTCGTGGGTCAGTAAAGAACACACTGGTGGAAAACATCAGTTTATACCGGAAGATGTTTTGGCAGAAGTAAGAAAGCAGGCTGAAGAGGAGGATGACGAAGAAGACGAAGATGAAGGAGAGGGGGATGAAAATAAGGATGCGGAGATGCAAACATGATTTGCGCGAGGAAGGGAGAATGCAGCCATAGAATAGAATTGAGCTATGTAGAAAGTTGAAAAAAAAAATGGCATTTTAATCAAATTATAACAGGACTCTGCCTGCATTGATTGCAATGAAATCTTTCCTAAATTTTGTTAGTAAGATTGTTGTGCTTTGGTTAAGACGGATAGTGAGTGGATACTCGGTGGAGAGAAGTAGACAGAGCAAGTGAATACAAAAGTAATAATCTAAGCAAGAAAGTAAGCAACTAGAAAAGAGGAGCAATAGAGAGTAATAGAATTCAATCCAATCAACAATATTCAATTTTAACGATACTTACT